AAATTAATATTTTTTTTTTCCTTCTCTTTTTGCAGGTGTTTTTGACATCAAGGTGAAGGTTTGTTAGATTTTCTATAGCAAATAAACCTGTGGTTATTATGGTCAGTCGGGTTGAAATAATGTTCATAGGCTTCATTAGAAGCCCATTATTGAACCTTTAATTAATAGTTGACCTAATACACAATTGGCAACTCATTTAATGGAGACGAGCCAATGCTCTTGAGTGTGTGGATAATTCATATGTGCAAGGCTTGACCCACTTGGTTATTACTTCTAACCTATTTCTTGTGGCACATATATATATTATCCCTACCTTGATTTTGTGGGAATACACATTACACAGCTTTTGCTTTTCCTTTTGCCCCTTTTTTTGAGAGAATAACGACTACTTTCTTAGTGTTGTTGGTCTTTGAACTACGACTACCCCTCTTCTGTTTTCTGTGATCCGTTATTGCTCTTCTTGCCTAAGTCTGTCTGTGGCTCCTGTTTTGTCCCTCCGGATGTTTTCACCTCTTGTTACAGCAGTTTCTCTACCTTTGCTTTGCAACCTCGTTTGGGTGATTCCTTTGTGGTAGTGGTGCAATATCATTTAGTATGGGGAATAAGTCATTTGTACAATGGATTTGTACAACATGCTTGACAATGGTATAGGTGTCAAAAAAGTGTTGATGGGAAAGATAAAGTATTTTTAAAACTATCCAATGATAACCTACCACGTAGCATGTTGTCAAACTTATTGTAAAAATCATTGTACAACAAGCATGGTTCATTTCATTTTGAAAGGGTAGTTGATACTGCTTAATTTGCAGCGCTCATTTGTCATTTGTTAATTGATTTGCCTTTGTGATTGGTTTTTCGATTCAACGTTGAATTTTCTCCACAATATTCGTCTTCTACGAAGCAATATAAAGTTTTGCAAGATAATGTGAAGGCTTGAGAGTTGAGCAATTATCACAAACATATTTAGCAAGTCCATTTTAAAGTATTAACGCAATACATTCCAAGCTCTACAAATAAAACTTGCTTTTAACTCACTTGATGGAAATATGTTATAATCCTAAGGTATTTAGAGATGCTAAAAGTGACTTTATAGATTTTGAGTTCTTAATTATAGTCGTTGTTTGGTATAATTATCTGCTATTCACAAGTAAGCAAAGTGTTTCAAAGTGAAGATTTGATTATTGATGTTACTATTTGTCACTTGAAAACACTCATTTCTTTTTTTGAACTAGAGGAATTGGATTTGAATCCAACCTTTATGATTGCTAAAGATATACAGCTCAAAGAAAATTGAATCTATATTTCATAAAAATGCAATTTATTCATAGAAAGAAGTAACTTGACAAAAATGTTAATAATGAGATAATTTATTTAGTTGAGCTGAAGAATCTTTTAGAGATAATTAAAAAGGTTGAACTCCAATCTTAAGGGCCCCCACCAACCCTGCCCTGGGTCATCGTGGAGGAGGTAAATCGCAGGATGTGCCTCCCAGGAGCCAGGGTGGAGAGCACATGGATAGGCAAAGGCTGTTAATCCATATGTTAACTCCCGTTTGCAACAAAGCCAATTCCACATTGCGGGGAATCGAACTCTGCACACTACCGCGCTGAGCCCTATCCGCCCTCCCCTTTGCCACTGGGAGATATGCCCTGGGGGCATCTTTTAGAGATAATTATTTCTTATGTATAGTTGATCAAGTTCTCTCTCTCTCTTTTCTTTTTTTATGACTTAGTATAGTTTTGAACATCTTAAAAAGTATGAGATTCTTTCGGATTTCAATTAGATTCTGCAGATGGTGATTGTAGCATTCGTATGGGCTTGACGAATTTTTGAAGCATGGCATGATTTTGATATTGATAGGCAAGAGTTATTTTCAAAGCTCAATATTGTAAGATTTTTACCGGAAGAGACCAAAATGTCAATCAATATTAATAGACAAGAGTTATTTTCATAATTCAAAATCGTGACATGTTTAATTAAAGAGATCAGAAAGGCAATTGGGGTGTCGGACTACTTAAAGAGGATGGATTGTTATTTTTTCAAATGTATGAATCACTAATAGAATATTATCAACTATAACAACTATAGTTGCCTTTGTAAAAAGAGAAGTTTCTAAAAATTAAAGTTGATAAAATCTTAGTTTTGATCGACAATGCCACAAAAGAGATTGAATGATCGACAATGGTGTCTATTGAAAAATGTTTATTAGAGCATATTGATTAAAATAATTTAATAATTGATTTTTCATCTCAAGATATTAGAAGAGTAAATTTAAAAAGCTATAAATTATTATTATTGTAATTTTGAACGTTTTCATTTAGTAAAAAAATGCATTTATTTTCAATTATTTATCAGTCCATATAAAGTTTGAATCCTCAAAAGCTCGAGGTTGATTTTCTTGATAGGTATGCAACTTATAATGGCGACTAGCTTTCAAAAAACACTTATACAAAAACTCATTTTCCACCACACGGTAGCTTCTATACTGTATCAGTCAATTTCTATTTTTGCATTGAAACGTGGCTTTAGATTCTCAACACGTTATTGTTTAAATTCTCGATATAATTAATCTCACTCAATTGCAAATTACATCATTACACATTTACATGCTGAGCCTCCAAAGTTGAATATCCACAGCAGAAGTAACTAGATAAAGAAATGAACACTATAAAGTTGATTAATGCCTTCTCCATGAATGCGCAACGGATTTGAAATTGAGATAATTTCGTAGAAATAATAATTAAATAGACAACAGTACTGAACAGTATAAAAATAAAATAAAATAAAATTAAGATTATGCTACACATACATTAGGGTGTTCGTAACGGTATCTACTTCACTCACATGGAAGGGAACTCACTTCGAATAAATTTATTTGAAGTGGATCCCCTTTTCATGTGAACAGTGTGGACATCATTATGGACACTGCATTATGTATCTATTCGAAGCTGGTCCCCCTCCATGTGAGAGAATTGGATACCGTTATAGACACTACATTATGTACAAGTAGTATATTCCAAAAAATTAAACCTTAACTATTGTACTATTAAGTACATGACTTACTATGTACCCCGTGATTGATACTGAAATATTTTATCTAATCACAAAAATCCGAACATTTATCTATTCATCCATGACGTTGAGTAGTAGGTATTCCTCCAATTATATCACTTTGCCATAAAAAGGACAAGCCACAATCACATTATTCCCAATTGATGCCACAACTTTCTTCATGTTTTCGGACACGCTAACAAACAAATAATGAACTTACTGCCATGTCACCACTTTAAGGCAACTGATTTTTAAGTGTGAACTGACTGTAGTGGGTAAGACGAAACAAGGAAAAAGATAAACATTGTGTTCATATTTTATACATGGAAATATAGAAAAAGGGTGGGTTTTTGAATGGTAGTCAATAAAGATCAGCCGCCCAAAGAAATTATAAAAGAATCTTCCTATTTAGTACACGTTAAATTTGTGTAATACACGCTCTTAAGTTTTAACCTTTTCATGTAATTATTTTATTTATTTATTTATTTTTTTTTTTTGTTCCGCTCGAGCTTGGCTCAATCCACGAGCTCGATTTTTAAATTTTTTTTTTTTGTTTACATTTTTACGAGTACACGATCCATGAACTTTAGGCTCTTGGGCATGTCGTGAACTTGACGAGCCAAGCCTTGTTCGGTAGTGACAAGCCGAGCTCAGCGTTCAAACACAAGTCGAGCTCGAGCTTGAGCTTGGCTAGGTCCACGATCTCGATTTTTTTTTTTTTTTGAGCCCACGAGCTATGAACTTTAGGCTCTTGGGCACGTCATGAGCTTGACGAGCCAAGCCTTGTTCGGCTCTTCAATTGATGAAAGTTTGGTTTACCATTATCTTTTGTTGCACGCGCCAAATCTTGTGAATACGTAGTGTCTTGTCAATGGAAAAATGATAGACAGAGAAAGGAAGTAAAAATCAACAAAGTCAGTTGGAGCTAAGAAAAGTCCAAAGTAGTAGATCACATGGAAAGACAAAATCAAACTTAAGAATGAGAAGAAAGAAATTTTGGACAGTGGAATTAGCACGTTAGTGTCATACTTCAAATAAGAATTTGGAAAGAAGCACCACGCCAATATTAATTAAAATATCAATTTCATTCTTGAAATTCTATAACAACAATTTAATTCTATTAAATTTTCGTGACAATCCACGAGTATTACATTCATATGATTGGTCAATCATTTCATTTCCTTTTGACCATTGGAATGATACACCATTGTTACGGCAATAATTTATGTAGAACGTCTACATTAATGACTTTGAAAAAAATAACCGTGTGAAACGGTTAGTATATTTCTCCAAGATTATTCCGATATTTATAAATAGTTTGTAAGATAATTTCAATGTACAGAGCCATGTTTGTACTTGATTGGTAGAATTATATACCAAGTAACTATGACTAGTGACAACCCCTAATGTTAGGTCACGACTTGATGGAAGGTAATTCTTTGACAAATTTATTAAGCTTTGTTTGGTGGAAATTAAATTTTAATTTTTAATAAATTTTAATAAAGCTAATAAAATATGACGTTAAAAAGTTATAAATTTCATAAAATATGTAGTAAAATTAATTATTGATTTTAATTTATATTAAAATCTAAATTTTAATTCTTATCGAACTAAATTTGAATTTAAAAAAAATTGTAGAGAAGACAGTTACGCCAATTAACAATTATTTAAACAAATCGTATATTCTACTTTGTACACGTATAGATGTAGAAACAGTATGTATACTGAGAATTGATTTGCGGCATCAGTGAATAGGATAAAAATTCTCACTACTGATATGGCAAAAGAAGTAGTTTAGTTATGGTTCTATAAATTTATGATCGTTTCAAATATTCATAATTAAGATTTTCTTCTCACGTCAACAATAGAAAATTTTTATCTCGTTCATTGCAGGCAATATATATATAAGTAGCTCATATTTTCTGCTAACTTTGTCCCCGTGTATATGTTGATACAGTACGTATACTGTGTATGCTATTTGTGAGAGTTTCTTTGTAATCTCTCTCTCTCTCCTTCTCTCTCGCTCCTAGTCCTACCATAAAGAGGTGGTGAAGATGCGTTTCTTTGGTTAGAGAGAGAAAAGAGAAAAAGAAAGGCAAAGCCCTTGTTGCATTTCTCATGAATTGTGGAGTCGTGTTGGGTTTTTATTGCTGGGGTTGGGAGTTTCTAACTGCCCTTCTTCTCTTTTCAGCCTCTTCCCACCTCCACCTCTCATTTTAGTTTCTTCCTTTTAGTTAATTTAGTCAAGAAATACGCACACACCAACACAAGAATATATCTGTCCTCTTTCTCGGTTTAATTTCGACTTCTCCTTGAAAATTACTGCATATATAATATGGAGCCCGAAAGTGAAAAGGGGTTGCTGGAATATGTGAGGAAATCCTCGCCGCCACCTTTTCTGTTGAAAACTTACATGCTGGTGGAGGATCCGACCACCGATGAAGTGATTTCGTGGAACGAAAACGGGACGGGTTTTATAGTGCGGCAGCCGGCGGAGTTTGCCAGAGATTTGCTTCCGACACTCTTCAAGCACAGCAACTTCTCCAGCTTTGTGAGGCAACTCAATACTTACGTATGTGACTAAAAGTCTCTCTATTCGAATGCTAATTTTTATTTCACACACAAAAATACAAATAAAATTAGCACTCATTTTTATTTCACACCCAAAAATAAAAAAAATAAAAATAATATTAGATAGTCTTGAGGTTAATTATTTGTAATCATCTCATGGTCATCATAATTTTCTCTACTTAACTTTGTTTGTTTTCTTGTTATTTAAAGATTAAAATGAAGAACAAAATAGTAGTTTTAATCTTGTGTTGTATAACAAGTAGATTCCTTTTGCGTCTAGAACAGATTCCTTTATTATTATATTTTATTAATTGAAAATTATTGGTGCAAAGCTTGCTATATATTGGTAAAGGCGTGCAATTTGGGGTGAGTCTTCAATATTATGATTAATGAATTTGCAGACCCTTTATAAAGGGTAAAAAAGGGACAAAAATTAAGCAAAAAGGGTGCAAAAATATTCAATTATCATTAGATTACAAATGAATATACATCAAGGGTGATAAATAAATATGTTATAATTATATTATCCAATCAAATGATACAACATGGTCAAACAGGAAAATACAAAATAAATAATTAAATAAATAAAATCAATTACATCCTAAAATCAAATAGTTTGACTTGATTTTTGTTCTTTTTATTCTTTAGTTGTGCCCTGTATGGCTATATGATTTGACACGTCTTAGGTACGTATCACATAAGCATATATTTGACACGATTAACATTACCAAATACTAGAGTTATTATGTCCCCGTTTGAGCCGCATTATTTCTCAGTGTAATGCTGTGAATAGTATTTTATTTGAAAAAATGAGTGGTTGAAAAGTTTTTGATTTACGCATAGTAATATTTTATTGAAAATTGTGGGGTTAAAAGTAGGAGAGAAAAAAATTTAATTAAATGTAATGAGAAATAATGGAGCTCAAACAAGTATAATTAGTACTTTGGCACTAGTTGAACATGAATGTTATTTATCAAATGTGATGTTCAGGGATTCCGAAAAGTTGCAACAAGTCGATGGGAATTCAGCAATGACATGTTTCGCAAGGGAGAGAAAGATCAACTTTGTGAAATACGTCGAAGAAAGGCATGGTCTAACAAACCACAACCCAATGTACAAGTGCGAATTGCACCCAAAGATCAACCAGATGAAGATCAAAGGTCGTCATCAACTTCATCATCATCAGAGTACACTACACTCGTCGATGAAAACAAAAGGCTGAAGAGTGAAAATGGAGTCCTAAACACTGAACTTTCCATCATGAAGAAGAAATGCAAGGAACTTCTTGACTTGGTGACAATCTACGGAAAAAACATTCAAAAAGAAGACGAAAAAGAAGAAGAAGAAAAGAGACAAGATGGCGTGGGACCAATGCTTTTTGGGGTTAGATTGGAAATTCAAGGGGAGATGGAGAAGAAGAGAAAGAGAGCAGGTAACGTTTGTGAAAGTTCTCGTCTTTTTCTGTCACAGTCATGCAAATAACTAAAAAAAAAAAGAAAAGGAGAGAGATTAAATAGCATGCCATTTAAAATCGAATGGACTGCCTGCTAAGTTGTTCCAGAAATCTTGTACACCTATAATGAGCTGTAAAGACAGTTCAGTACTACAGCAATAAATTGTGCATTATCAATTTTCTTCTAGCTGACAAAAACTGGAAAAGGAGTATAATAATTAATTGAATTAACCTGAAGGTTTATTGCCATAACTTATGGGGCTTGATTACAATTATTTGTACGATCAATGCTCGGTGTACATGGAAAAATGTCAGGAAATTTACAGGTGGACTAGATATTTTTACATTGCGAGTGAGCAAAAATACAAAAATAAAAATAAATTTTTTTTTAATTTTTTGGTGTCATCACTCACAAAACTAGCTCAGGAATGAGAGATTGTAAATATTTAATAGTCACTTCAAATAAAATGGGCTAAAATATCACCAAGTCAGTTCGACCTATGAGCTCTACCAAGTCAGGCAAGCTCTCCAAGTTAGGTCGGCTCGGCCAGTACCAAGTCAGGCAAGCTTTCCATGTTAGGCCAGCTCGATCTATGATAGGGTTCGCTCTTTATGTTATGCTAGCTCGGCCAGTAACATGTCAGCTCGATCTATGACGAGTCCGCTCTCCATGCTAGGTCAGCTCGGACAGTAACATGTTAGCTTGACCTATGATAGTCACGTAGCTCGGCCTATTACAGGTCAGCTCTCCATGTTAGGTCAGCTCGGCCATATCACCGTCATATAGAAAACACCATCATTGCTTTACGACACTTGTGCCTTATTCATAAAAGGTGGCACTCATGGTAATTGTGCCTTACTTTCAACCAATCAAAGGCTTGCAATGATTACTTACTACCCCGACATCATCAGGATCTAAGTATACCCCGACATCATCAGGATCTAAGTATACTGACCTTAAAGGACCAATCAATAGCTAAGGGAGGCATGGACAATGACACACAATTCAAGGAATGCATTGTAGATAACCTATTTTTGGACGCTAATTGGTTGTTTTGGGAGCCTAAAAATATGACCAAATGATTTTTCAATGGAAGGAGGGAAAGATATACAATACACATTCTACAAGCTTTCTTTTTTTATACAAATCTCTCTCTCTCTCTCTCTCTCTCTCTTTTCAACTATTTTAGCAATTTATCTCATACAAATCATTAATTAAGTTGACAAAAATTAACCCGGTCATTTTTTGACGTCAACAGTTTGGTACTAAAGGTAGGACCTTGTAAAAAACAGCCCACATCTCTCACAAATTTCCCTTTGCCTTTTTTACTTGATACCACACCTAAAAACACTTGAATGTTTTCCACTCCACTCTGCAAAATTTCATCATCTTGTATTGCTAGATCCCAAATATTTTTATTCTTACTTTCACAATCAACCGTGTACCACAAAAGATTGTCAGGCAGAATTATGAACATGAAAAGAATGATTATTATAGGAAATGTTTTTGACCATATAATCATTTCCTAGTAATCTAATTGTTGGATAGCTAGGCCTTCGTAGTTGAGCTGAAATCCAGGATAACCACAGCATGTTTCATACCGATAATCAGCAACAGAAGATTTTCTTGGTAAAAACATTATGAAGCAGAAAAAATGGAGAGTTCAATAGAAAATTCCTTTCAACTTCGCTGCCTTTTACTACTTATAGTGAAGAGATTTTCTTCCTGATTTGTAGCACTAAACAACTTTTGTTGGAAGAAATGCCTAATCATTGAAAACGAGCCCAAGGTTACAGTTTTCTTATTATTGAAGGCGAGTCATACTTCATGGATATCTCTAGTATTCAAGACAAGTGCTAAGACCTCATATCTTCTCATCAAGGAAAGTCCATAAGACCTCGCAATGACGAGGCTAACTTGTAAGACCTCATCTCATTGAGGCAAGTCCGTTAGACCTTGCAATGACGAGGCTATCGTAAGACCTCAATCATATTGAGGCGAGCTCATAGATTTTACAACATGGGGAACTATTGGTCACGAGACATTATTACTGCTAAGTGTTCCATGATATCATCTTTAGTCTTACTAATGCACGCATACAGCACCTTTTACGTTATCATCCACATGCATACCTATAGCATCATGTGCATCAATTTTCCATTCTTTCTGTGCATTATCATCTGCATGCATAAAGTCTATTCATCAGCAGCACAATCTAAGGTTGTAAGTGCTACAACACTTAGACTAAATCCATTCTTCAGCGGCATAAAGTCTGCTCTTCAACAACACAATCTAAGGTTGTAAGTGCTGCAATACTTAGATAAAGCCCGCTATTTAGTGGCACAAAGCTTGCTCTTTAGCGACATAAAATCAGCTCTTTAGTAGCACAATCTAAGGTCATAAGTGCTGTAATATTTAGACAATTCCAACATTCAGTGGCATAAAAAGCTTGTTCTTTAGCAGAACGATTTGAGGTTGTAAATGTTATGAAGATAAAAGTCTATTCTTCACAGTTCTCAATCCATTTCATTTGTCCCTTCACAACGAGCTCTCCACACTTTGGTAGTTCGATACATAAATGGGGTATCGTCTTTGATCTCCTGATTGACCTCTACCTCAGCGTTCACCTAAGTATAATTCAAAACAAATAAAAGAAATCAAGTGACCCGACAAACATGACCTCAAAATGTGCTGACCCCACCTAGAATTGGAAAAGGGATTCTATAACAAAGTTCAACTTGAAGAATATTAGAGTCATTGATCAGACTAAACCAGCTTATTGCCAACCAACTTTTAAAAGTAGGATCTTAAATACTTCAAGTTGGAAAATAAAGGTCAAAACTTTACTTAAGTAAATGTCTAGACCTTTGGGGGCACTTGTTGGTGTCAAAAGTCACAAAACTAGCTCAGGAATGAGAGGTCATGAATATTCAATAGTCACTTCTAAGAGGACAGGCTAAAATATCACCAAGTCAATTCGATCTATAAGCTCTACCAAGTCAGGCAAGCTCTCCAAGTTAAGTAAGTTCGGCCAGTAACATTTCAGCTTGGTCTATGATAGGGCTCGCTCTCCATGTTAGGCCAACTCGATCTATGACAGGGTCCTCTCTCTATGTTAAGCCAGCTCGGCCAGTAACATGTCAGCTCGGTCTACAATGAGTCTGTTCTCTGATAGGTCGGCTCGATCAATAACATGTCAACTAGACCTATGACAGTAACACAGCTCGGCCTATAATAGGTCAGCTCTACATGTTAGGTCAGCTCAGCCATATCGCTGTTATTTAGAAAACACTATTATTTTTTTATGACACTTGTGCCTTATCCATGACATCATTGCCTCCCATGCGACCATTCTTATAACAACACATGGCACTCATGGTAATTGTGCCTTACTTTCAACCAATCAAAGGCTTGCAATGATTACTCACCACCTCGCCATCATCAAGAGCTGAGAATACCGACCTCAAAGGACCAATCAAGAGATAAGGAAGGCATGGATAACCTAATTTCGAGGCCAATTGGCTGTTTTGGAAGCCTATAAATATGACCAAATGGTTTTCCAATGGGAGAAGGAATGGCATATAATAGACATTATAAAGCTTTCCTTTTTTTTATACAAATCTCTCTCTTTTCTCTACTATTTCAGTAATTCACCTCATATAAATCATTAATTAAGTTGACAAAGATTAACATGGTCATTTTTTGTCATCAATATAATTAAATTAAGGCAATCATACATGTAACTACTCTGTCAGTTATTCCTCTATATGTACAGAGGAATAAATCTATAAGAACTCTATAATCTGAATAAGATTAAACAAAATTAAGAGAGATGGCAACAATAATGTGTGATCATTCTCCAATAACTATATTTTGTTATGGAAAGAGAAAAAAAAAAGACAAGAATATAAGAATCAAAACTCAAGTGTATCTTTTATTGAGAATCGGGACCCATATTTATAGAGTCAAAAATAAGAGTTATAATTAGAATGAAATAGATATTCTTGACAAGATAACACTTATCTATGTATCATGATAACACTAAAGAATCGTCAATAATTATCTCATTCTTTTACAACACTCCACCGTTGATGATTATTTGTATAATAACCATCTCATTGAAATCTTGTTTGGCAAAAAACTTGATGGGACAAAAATGCCAACAAATGAATAAATACAAATAATTTGAAGGATTAAAATACTGCCTCATTAAAACCTTGTCAAGAAAATCCAATGGGAGAATACTTGATTGAAGGAAAAAAGAGTACATCTACTTCCCTTAATTTCATTTCTTGTATCAAACTATTCATGTCTTGTAAATCAATGTCTTCAATATTACAATTTCTGATAAAGTATGTCTCATGTTGTCTTGTATAGTTTTTAGATAACATAGTCTTCGTACGAGATATTAATTATCATTTAATAATTGTAGTAACATGATGATTTGAAAAAGGCTCTTGTTGATCTCTTCGAAAGTCTCATACATATAAGATATTATTTTGAGGGTAAATATCTTACATATTATAGGCATTCATTATATGAAGAATATGCTTTGTTAAAATCTTATTAGGAAGAATCCTGTGGGTAAACTCGTAATGAATGAAAAATAGTACATTAATCTTTTGAATACGCTACAAAAGTTACTTCATTAAAAACTTTGCTAGAAAACTCAATGGGACAAAACATTGGTTAAGGGAAAAAATGGTATATTAAATCCTCCAAGATAGTATCAAGATTTTACAAGATAAATTGTCTATAATCACATTTATTATATGTACATCAAATTTCATGCATTATTATGCTAACAAGGTAGAGACCTGTGATTACATCCACCATATGATAACTTATCTACTTATACAAGTCTTTGTGACTTTTATTATGTAAAGAGTCGTATATTTCATATTACGACTTTATTTTTTTCATTTTCATTTCGCATAAGTATACACCTTTTGATGTTCGAACTGTAGATTCATAAACTTCAAGTTTCTCTAATAAGTTCAATTTAGTATAATCTCATCATCATTTGACCAATCATTACTTCAATTGATGACAAATTTATTTAGATATCATTGATATTTGTAATATGATTTAGTACATAACGTGTAAATGTATTGTCCCGACAATTTTTTTCTTTTCAATTCTGTTTCTTTTCTATAATGACATAACTTATTGAAATATT